AGCTAGTAGTAACTGGCAGAGTTTGCCCACCAGTATCTTCAGTCTCACAATACAGCGATGTTTCCCCTCACAAGAGTTTGCCCTGTAGAAGACCTACTCATCTGCCACTGGTTTGAATGCTTTGATTTTGTTTCACCATCATTTGAAGGTATAGAACATGATCTTTTCTCACCGCTCATTTCCTCCATCTCTGTTCTGCATTTCTGCTCTCAATGCATTTGCAAGCTTTTTATTTCCTTCCTCTCTGTGAATGAATCAGAGGTATCAACCTATGTTTTGGAAAACAACTTCTTTGGCTGTATTTATCCTTATAAGCTCATGTCAAGTCTGGATATCTGGTTGCCGAAACATTATTTTCTACTTCATAAACCACAAGGAGACTTGTTCAATCACAGCCCATTCACTTACTGTTTATACACCATCACCATTTTAATTCGAATAGTGATTAAGTTCAGACTAAAAGACAAAATGACTTCATTGCTGAATTTAACTGCTGCGATAGGCTATCTGCCTGCAGATAAGGGCCAAGCAGCACTTGCATTAACACGGAAGTACAGAAGAAATTTTAGCTGCCAGTCCACTCTTTAAAACTGAAAGCTTTAACACCTTGCTATTGCACTCACACAGCCCTACGACTGCCAGTGTTTCGGTTTTCTTTCTAGCCACGGTCCTAATTTAACATAAATAATTCTTAGTGACATCACTTGTTAAGAAACACGGTTCAGAGTATCAGAGCTCAGCCAGACATAGTGTGCAAGGAAAATGGATTGGCTTTTGAATGCCCCTAATTTGCTATGTGAACAGCGTTGGTTTGATTCTCCTCCCCCTCCAGCCTGGATCAGAGAGTAAAAACCAAACACCTCCGCCAATTAATATGGCAGGACTTCCACTGCTCCACTGTTGCTCTACTTGAATCATATCACAGCACTGAGCAATTTGTCACGTACAACATATGGATTTATATTAAGTTACAAACAACTCCAAATAAGGTATCCTTTCAAGCCATTTTAGCTGCAGCCATTCCTCTTCCACACAAGCCTGATAACAGCAAAACCACAAAGGCTCGTTTCAGCTCCACAGTCAACGCAAACAACAGCAAAAGCATGACTTGGATTGCAAGGCATCTTCCAAGTTTTAACAGAACCCACTCACCACAAATAAAATTAGTAGCTGGCAATGTAATAAATGACTTTCTACTTCAACCAGGTAACAAACTGAGGTTGCACAAAGACATCTCCAGGGGTCCCTTCCAACCTCAACCATTCTGTGATTCCACACACAGAAACATCAGCTCCCTGTACACTCAGAACTCAAGAGACTGAACTGTAATGAGCATTAGCTTTTTAATTACTGAGCTCTTATCTCCACTATATATATTTAATGGCTAATCAAGCACTGCTTTGCATCTCTGGAGGCCTAAACATGAAACGTAGGTTTCCCCCACCACTCTGAGTGCCTAGAAGACTTAGAAACAATTCCTACTTGCAATCTGCTTACGTGAGCAGGGAGATAAAGTGAAGCTGCCTTGCACAACTACACTTCCCCAGCTTTCTCTTAGTTTCCCAGTACTTTAACATATCCTCGAAGAAACAAAATGAGGTAGTTTTTTGGCAGAGCTTTTCTGTGTATCTGTGGGTTCTTTTATACATTTCAGTCCTGCTTTTTTTTTTTTTTTCTTCCTGATCTACTGAGAAAAGCATATTTTCAACAGGGTATTCCAGAGCTTCCAGCACTATTATAATCCTTTACATTTGGAAGTTGTGCTCGGAGAAGAACCACCTCCAGAGATGCTCCTGTTATCCAGTAGCAGTCGCATCATTTCGATTCCATCGCTGAAGTTTTCTGCCAGAATGAAACAGCCGCTCCCTCCCAAACAATGCTGTTACTTTCAAGCTGTTTATTGAACTCTGATCCGATTTTGCCAATGCAGCGTTCGTGTTTCCGGCCTCTGGAAAGCACTGTGCCTAATAAGAAAGTTTACAGGAAGAAAAAAAAAACTTCAAAGCCACATGTTTGTAATTATGAAGCTGGGAATAGGAGGTTTTCTTTCCTTCCTACGCAGGACAGCGGGGAGCATTATAGAATAAATCAAGCTAAACTAGTCCTGAAAATTAAGCATGGTCCTCTAGAAACAGTCTGAACTCAGTTTTTCACAAAAACAGCTCATCTGTTTATCAGAAGCAGCAGCAAGCAGACTGCAGTGTGCTTAGAGCAGGCGGGTGTGTGACACGGCACCAAGAGCAGACATTTGAGAAGATAACGCCGCTGCTCTCCATGCACTGACAGAAGCACACCTTAAGGACAGTAACATGTAACTGTTTTAATGAGGAGGCGAGTTCATTTGATACCAGACTTTAAAGTATTCGTATAAGCAAAAAATCAGAAAAAATTCCTGAAGTGTTACATAAGAACAACACATATGTATTAAAACTCTTATCTTACTAAAACATCTGGAGGAGATTGCTACAGGACTCCATTTTATGGGTGGTATCAAATTCCTCCAGGGGTGCACAGCACGAGAGCAGTGTATCCACTAAATACAGGCTGGTCAAGGCCTCAGCCACACCAACCTGCAGCTGGACTGCATATTCTACCTGCCTCCTAAGAAACAGAACATTAAAGTTACCCCTATCCATCCCACCGTAACTTACAAGCAGATCATTAAATTGATTTAGAAACATTTATCACAAGCTAGTGTCTGCAAGATTGAAATTAATGATTAATATAAATAAATTGCTTACTAATTAAAATGTCTGAACAACCTGACGTGCCTTAACCCACTTATGTATTTGGTTTTTTTAAGGAAAAGTTTGTCAACAGAAAGATCAGTTTTATTTTCACTGTCTGAATTGTTGTTAGATGTCAGCACAGCTAAATAATAAATATATTTTGATTTAAAGCATCAGGCAAGGCAAACCACCTAGGAATTCACATTAAGACCCTATTTCAACTCAGACCACTAACAGGTAGCAGACAGTTAACAGTTTCTCAGAGGAAACCAAAAGAAACGTTTTCAAAGGATTTGGTAGGTTTATAGTAAAACACAGCAATCAAGCCCCTCAGTGGCACCCAGCTATCCACAATTCAACTCTTCTTTTTCCTCTAATAGCCTGCAGTCACACGAGACCACAAGACACTTTGCCAGTCACCACGCCACAGGCTTTCCCAAATCTCTAAGTAGTATGGTATATCTGTAGATTTAGAGAGGAGGAAAAGGTGTTACATCCATGAGCCAAGAAAAAGCAGCTCAGAAACACAGGAAAAAACTGAGTGCTACCAGGTCTGGCGAAACAGAAAGCAGAACCACGTCCCTCTGAGATCCAGGGTTTCTCAATAGTTCTGCTACCAGGAAGCAAAAGCGTGGAATGCAGTCAGGTACATTTGATTCATAAGAACATGAGCAACAACTTCTTACTAGTAAAGGTTTACATTTCTACTTGACACAGCAGATTGATCAACTTCCAGAAGTTTCGCAGTGTTCCACAACAAGTTACATGTTCAACACTACAAAGGACTCTGCTATTTTGTATGAACTTTCTATGAATTTTAGAGTCAAATCAGTGCCAGATCATCTTCCCTATTAATAGATATTAATAAAATATCCCTTTTTCTAGAGTTTTGCTGCATTTTCTCACACCCTGCTCCACTTTCTCCGATCATTCTATCATTTACCAGAACACTACTGCTGAAAGGGAAAAAAAGAACAAAAAAACAGGCATCTCTCAGTACTCATAAGGGACCATGAACTCGCTAAACTTCAATCCCCACCTATTTCTGCTTCTGTAAGATCAGTTTCTGTGCATGCCACAGCACAAGAACTCACTGTTTTTCCATTTTTACCATCAGGAGAAGGGTAAAGGAGCATATAGTGTAGTCACAGATCCAGGAGAACAGAAAAGCTGTGATGCAACCTGTTTACATCATCCTCGCATTTTTACTGCCCACGGGGGTAAGAGGAAGGAAAGATGAAGAAAGAAACTGAATAAAAGGGAACTTGTTTCCTCCACGCTTTAACTTGTGGGTTCTGTTCTCACGTTTTTGTTTTTTGTTTTATTTTCTTCCCCACTTTAGTTCAAAACAGTTTTTAATGCTTCAGCCTCACCACTGCAGCTGTGCTGAGAGCTGAGGGCAAAGGGCAGACGAAGCTGCTCAACATTCACACAGCACCTGCCTCTCAAAGGCTACGCACCGCTTGAAGGCACATCTCTTATCGCTTTATTCCCCACATACCCCGAATTCCACCTTCCTACAGCTCCTCCCTGCCAAGGACACGCTCAGCACTGACCGGAAAGCCGCTTCTGAGTCCCCAAACTAAGGAAGGGAAGAGAAGCGCTAACAGCTCAGCTGCCACGGCCTTCAGCTCTCACTGCACTTCGTTTTCCTCACCGCAGTGAGGGACGTCGAACGCTAGGCAACACGGGGAGGGCTGAATCGCCTCGGGAAGCCCGTGCTGCTTCTCCCACACGACACGCACACAAGGGACGACCAGCGGCCACGCCGCGAGCCCGCACGGCACCGCCACCCCCGCGCAGGGCGCACGCGCGCTGCCCACCCTTCGCCCACCGCCGGGCAACGGCCGGAGCCCCCACGCATGCGCGCTGCGCGCAACCGGAACCACCGGAACCGCCGCCACCGCCCCCTCGGCCGCCCCCCGCGCCAGCCGCTCACCATGTACCAGGTCCCTAAAATGATGGTGCCGGTCCGCACGTGGCAGCAGCCACAACAGCGAGTACTGTAAAAACGGTCGCGGCTCCGCTTGAACGTCATGTTGGCAGCTGCTCCGCCGGACTCGCTCCGCCGGACGCCCTCCTCCGGACTCGCCGCTCGCTCTCTCCCAGCACTTCCCCTCAGCTGAGGGCCGTAAAACCCCTGCTCTGGCGTCACCGCCGCACCGGCCAATCGCGTGTCGACAGCGGGGGCGCGGAGGGGCGTGCCCTGCGGGAGGGCCTACGCGTTGCCGCGGCAACGGCGGATTGGCGGCGCCGCGGACCAATCGCAGCGCTCCGAGTGCAACGCCCTGCCCTTCACCTGCGCGGCGGCGGGGCGGGGCTCACCTGAGGCGAGGCGCGGTAGGGGCCGTCCGACGTCCGCCATTTTGGGGAGGAGCCGCCCGCCCGCCCGCCCTCACCTCAGCGCTGAGGCGGCCTGATATGGCGGATTGCGCTGCGTTGTTTGGGGCTGAGGTTCGGGGTGCTTCCTCCTGAGGGCCGGTCGTAAAACATCACGAAGAAAATTCTGCAGACAATCCTTTGTTATGAAAGGAAAGTGAAGTCACTTCAGTGGACCTCGGAGCACCCAAATCCCACAGATTGCACTGAAATTTAGCTAGCGCTGTTGCAATTCACTTAAACCCTTTGGCTGTTCTTCTAGAGAAAATCCTCGTTAAGTAATTAATGTACATTACATGGTGGGAGGACACGTGAGCAGAGTGTGAACAGAAAAGGTGAGCTTGAGTTCACACATGCTTTAATTCTGCATGAGTCCCACGTCCCTGTTCCTGAGTGGTGACAACACTGCTAGTCCCACTGAAAGCTGCAGGTGCTGCTAAGTGTTAATTAGAAGTAATGTATATAGATCCTGAGTGCTGCCTTCATATGTGTGAAAGATAAGGAGCCCTCCTGTTCCCATAGAGGGGAGCACCAGTAACCTTCCCCCGACCCGAGCACAGCCGTGGGTTTGCAGACGTGCTGTGTTGATACAGAAACGTGCTCGGTTTATTTTAACCTTGCTGCAGCTGCAAGTATTTCCTTCTTGGCTGTATACAACTGTTTGGAGACACTCATAGAACATAAATATTTGCTGTGTGTATATACACCAAGAGGTATGTTATCTGTCAGTATGGTTGTTCGGTCTGAACAATGAGAAGGTAACAAGGGTGACTAGTTCTCCCGTTGATACGTTCCAGATCCTACAATTAACACATTTTATTGTTTGAGCTACTTAGTCTATTTTTAAGCATGAACTGTTGCTGAGTTGTTTGAAATGATTTACTTAAAGGCTTAAAACTGACCTTTTTTATTTTAAATCCCCCATGTTCCATAATTGACGTTTTTCTTCCTTAGGGCATTTTTCATTTTTGAATAAACATGTTGTAAGTGCTGTTAAGACTGCTCTCTAATGATCCTGTTATAAACTATTGTTTGTTTCTTTAGTGCTCCTAATGTTCCCTGTGCACAGATGCTTAATTATCAACAGACTGATTTAATGTAACAAAACCGGACTGATTTTAATCAATATACATGTAAGTATGTAAATAAATATAAAAAGAATGTGCATTTTGTTGGAATCAGTCACCTAAAAAAATCTGTTTTCTCACAGATGGCATGTTGGGAAGCCTGAGCCAACTGTTTCTGCAGCATTCACAACTGAACTGCTTCCATCGTTCCTGCAGAGCAAAGAGGCTCTCCCTCCTGTAGGTCTCTCCATGTGCAAGAGAGGAATTCAGAGGACTAGAGTGGGTCAGAAGAGTTTCCTGCTTGAGTTAGGTCATCCACTTGGAAGCACCTAGATCCCGCTCACAATTTAAAGAAATGTGGTTTGTGAGGGCAAGTTCTTGAAGATCTTCCACAGCTGGAAACTTTGCTTTTGCTAGTCTTGCTGGCAGCTCTCATGTCAGGCTCAGATCTTCAGGGCTATTTTCACGAGATGAAAGAAATCTTAATTAAGTGTTCATATCTTTGTCAGCCAGACTCGGAATGAGAACTGATGCATTTCCCATGAGCTTTACCACTTGTTATACCCTGCAGACAACAAAGATACTGAGAAGAATAATGTGAATGTAATTTAACATCAGAAAGCAGTTTTCCACAACTGGATAGGTTGATGTGCAACTGTTGAGTGGGGAAAAAAAATCTCTCTCTACTTTCTCTCATTTAAAAAAAAAATAAAAGAGCATTTAGAGAATGATTGCAGTGTTTCCTGTAAAATGGAGAAGAGAGGATAGTTTAATAACTTCAGCGCTATACCCTGCAAAAGACACCAGTTCCTCCATGCCTCAGGCGGCCCAGATGACCTCAGGGAAGACACTTCCTTCTCTTTGAGCATTAATTCTCTTCTTTTGCTAGTTCAGAGAAGATTCGTGAGGCTAAATGTAGTAATAATTCTGAAGGACTCAGCTCAGCTTGCAGTCATGACAGCCAGAGCAAAATATCGAGAGAGATAGAATGAACTGTTCTTCCCAAATAGCAAAAAGACCTTGGTGCTCTGGGACCAAATTGTCCACTTCTTACAACAGTAAGAGTAGAAGGCCCTAGACATACCAGCTAGTGATAAGCAGCTGCAAAAGGATTCCAGTCCCCTTACAAAGCACAGCACTTAACTCCTTCCATCCATACATGCTGAGAGGGAAGGAGTTTTGAGATCATGGTGTTCCTCATTACCCAGGCTGGTTAAGTGTTTCAAAATCTACGTCTAGACAGAACATTTTAATTCTGTCTTGAGAGTGCATGTCAATGTTTTACTAAACATAAAGTATTATTTTTGAATAATCATATTCATATAGTTCTGTTTGAATATAATCACAGTCAAAAATAACATAATAGCCAGCAGAATAGCTAGGATCATGTAAATAAGATAGATACCAGGTTGCATTGTCCTTCCTGCTCCTCCATGATTCGTTTTCTTCCAAAAAAAAAAAAAAAAGAGTCCAGTGCCTGTAAGATGCCAAAACAGTACAGCATGAAGACTGTTTTATGCAGATTTTTGAGATTCCATTTTGTTCCATTTTTTGTTCCATTCTCAATCTATTCGTAGCTAAAATATGTGTAGAGTTATACTGTAGCCATTATTTCTTGACTGCATGCACTGAGTTATTATTAGGTTGCATATGAAAAATGAGGTGCTGTTCTCCTTCAGCATTTTCTGTGCATGTTTGAATAAGGGAAAACCTGCACACTATAGTCTGATAATCTTACGTAGCCTCCATGGGCATGGTTCATACCGCTTTGTAACGAAAACACTGTGCTGTTTGGAGTTGAGGAAATTGAAGAACAGTGAGATGAAGTGATGTCACCAATACCACAAAGGCTGGTGAAAGTGATAGGATCAATTCTCCTGTCCTGTGGATGTGAAAATACCTGGGCTGAGAGCACAGATTGGCTTTTTGCTTCCACAAGATGATAAGAGGGTATTGGAGTAAAAGCCAAGCGTTAACATGTGGAAAAAAACAAACAAACAAACAAAAAAACCTATTGGGTGGGAGAAAAACTTTCCTGTTCATGACTCACACAGTGAAATCCTAGATATCCTGAACTACCAAATTTTACCACTCCTCTTCTCCAAGGTGGATTCTGCTAGAAGAAAACAGACAAATCCAAACATTCAGTGATTTCTATAAGAGAGAAGAATGTATCACAATGAGTTTTGTGGTTACTGGATTTTACTTTATTGAATTTAACAACATGAATTTGGATCTCTAAAGCAACGTTCCAATCATCTCTACTTTTTGTTTCAGTTGATTGCTGTTAACAATATGAATTATCTGTTACTACAGATACATTCCAAACCTTTTAACTTGTAACAGATGGTTCAGAAAGTCAGGGCTAGAAAAGCAGCTAAAATATGACAGCATGATGTAAAACTTTTATTAACACAAGACTCTTTCTGGGTTACTTGTACTCTCAGGCTTTCTTAACATTAATAACTGAAAAAAGTTCCCATGTTCATTTGTGGAATCAAAGTTTGCTAACCCAGAAGAGCTATAGTTCATTTAAATCAGCCTTCATACAGCTGAGGAGAAATAAAAATGTCTGAAAATAACCTACAGCATTTTCCTCAATCTAGACTGGTACTTGCAAGTTCAGATATCTCAGTGGTTTCACATGTCAAGAAATGAGCACTGGCTCTGTCTACAAAGGGGCATGCCCTTTACTTACTGGCAGTCCCCTTCTCCCAGCCCTGTGCCCAGACGTGTCTCTCTGAGTGCTGGAGGGATGGAGATGCCTGGGAATCTGAATGCTGTCTGCTCATGAAAGGAGGAAGCGTTACCTCATGATTTGTAGTTTTTTTTAACATTGTCTCTCTGAATTGGTTTGCAGTTTAGGACTCTGGGAAAAAGTTCCTGAAGGAGTAGAGTGGCAGGCAGCTGATGCACTCAGAAGTGCCCAGTTAAGCTCTTTGTGTCTCTGTGGCTTACAGTGCTTGGAACCACTGCCAAAGGACAGTAGTGCACATGTGCAGAAATCAAAGTTTGACATAAATTTATGAAGTTTCTAGTAGTTTTTTAATGGGACAATCCAAGGGTCAGTTACTGTTACAGTCACATTTTCCTGAGGAGACACAGGGAGTTTATTTCAGAGCTCAATGGCACTGCAGTGACCTTCAGCAGGGGAGGACGCTTCCAACACAGATAGGAACATCTGCAGAGCAGAATGTCAGGAGTGGCACATGCTGAAAAGTTCCATTTACCTTGAAAAGACCTCTGAGTCCAAGTCAGTACTATCACAGAAGTACAAGACTTCCCTTATCTGCTCTTTGTATACTGTAACTTTAAAAGCCCTCTCTCCTCACTAAGAGGTTTTTTTTTTTTTTTGTATTATACAGCAGGCTTTTGTTGTTAGCATAGCAAATAAATTATCTTCTGCCAAGGAATTAACATGTCTACCTGATACTCAGCTCATGCAGATGTGTCAGCTGTGCTTCTGATATGCAGATTGGGTGGTGGGCAGAACCTTGATAATTATAGATAACTACAATTATCAATTACAGACAATTATGGCACAGCAGTTGCCCCACTTAACCCTGACTGTGTTACGCCATGGTTTGATTGTGAAGCAAAGCTTTAGAATCTGTGTCTGCAGCCTGCCTGTGAGTAAACACAGCTTTGTAGGTCAGAAGTTCATCACATCAACCACAGCTTCATGCTTGAGATACCGTTTCATGGCCTCATCATTAGGGATATAGCCAACCTCTCATCTTCAAAAGGCTTCCCACAAGAAAGAGTATCATTGCAAAAATAGAGCAGACTGAGTTTAAGGGAAAGTTGAAACTTAAAGCAGCGTATTTCATCATTTGCAGCTGCTGCCATAACAGTTAATTGTATGCTCCTAACCAGATTGTAGATGTTCTCCCTGCCACACATCACCACTTCCCACGCTGTGGCTGCCCCGGAGGCCAGATTGCTGGTTGCTGGGCCAGCTGCAGGTGCAGGGAGAGCACCTGGCTGTTAATGCAGCTTGTGCCACTCAAGCAACAGATAAATCACTCAGGGAACAGGCAAAGGGAGCCAGCTGGTTCTGGCTTGTGAACCAGGGCACCATTGTAGTCCAACCAGCAATTAGACTACACTAGGTTAATGAAGGGCCAAAGAGGCTACTCTAGATTCATATCTCTGGGAGAGAAGTTATCTGGAGGATATAAAAACACCCAACTACAGTACAATCAATGCTAGAACTTGTTAGAGGGATGTTGAAGATCAGACAGAGCCTACAAGGAGGAGAGTATCAACCTCATTTGTCTAATGCCCCAAGAGCCAGAAGCAGCATGAGAGGCAGATGATTTGAGCAAGATGACAATGCTCGCAGGAGAGAAGGCAGGAGATGTCTAAAAGCATAAAACCAGCAGTAGCCTAAGCATACAGTGATGAAAGGAAAGGGAATTTTGTAAGGTACTCTAAGGTCTGCTTTTCAAAGGCACTGGCCATCTGCAAAGGCCATTTGTTACACTGAGCAATGGTTTCACAGCCCTTGAGGATGAGGAAGTGAAAGAATGGAAGTTAACAGCAGCTGCTGAGAGTGTTTTGTGCTCTGTTTTGTTTAAAATTTGGCTCTCTTACTGAGGAACCAAGCTCTCAGCACACTTTCTTCAAAACTCTGGGCCAGCCCTGGGAGCCCCTGAAGCAACAGTGCTGGAGGTTGTGGCACAGAAATGCTGCAGCCACATTAACCCAACATAATACTTCCTACTACTTGCAGCAATCACACTGATATGGCAGATAGATTGCAAAAACAGTCTGTTCCCACCAAATTTATCCAGAATTCACCTTTGCAAGTATTTAGGAAAGCTTATGATCAACAATACCTAGTTGTATTTTCTTTGCTGTGCCACTGTCTATGTTAGAATGTAGTATTAAATAGTGTTCTGATAGAAACTACTGAGCACTTCTTCATTACAGCAGTGGTTTGCCATCTGTGAAACAGCGGAGCCAGAAGAAAAATAGAGCTCTGCCAATACCTCTGCTGTCAGTAAGAGCGGTACCAATAAAAAACAAGGCAATATAATTTGCTGCTTCTTGTCATCAGAATTGCAGTCATCTCGTCAGCATTACAGGGCTTGACTGTTCTTTTATTCCATCAAGAGAAGAAAGTTAGACATATTCCTAAACATTAGCAGGGTTAAGATGAAGTGTATCTTTTAAGAAACATTTACTATACCTGCTTAGAAGCTTGAAAATGAAATTCTTTTAGCAAAAGAGCACTTGCTCTTATACACATAAAACCTAATTAAGTAAAATTGCCCCCGAGCGCTGGCCTTCGGGCAAAAGTTTTGATTTTTTTATTATAAAAACAACAAACACTAGAAATACTTGAAATACTACAGCATGTTGAAAAGAAAACACAGTTACAGTGGTATCAAAGAGAAAAAAAAAAGTCTGGAATCTACCAATATTGTATTGTCTTTTTTTTTTTTTTTTTCTGATGACACAAGTTATCCTCAATGCTAAACAAAGACCTTGGGCAACATCCTGGCTTCACTTAGGTCAACAAATGTTTTGCATTGGCTTCAGAGTTAGAATTTCACTCATTATCTACGCACTCATTAACACATCTTCTAAATCCTTGAACTTGCTATTCTTGTTCCTCTGGCGAGGCCGTGCATTTTCTTGTTCCAAAACACTTTCTTTCAACATAAAAGCCATTTGGTTTCTTCATGCATAAATTGCCTGTATTTGCCCTGCACTAACACACAAACATCAAGATGGGTAGAGTTTAGGCAGTGAGCTGCTAAGTGGCATCAGCTAAGATGATCCCTCTACTGTCTGAAACAATCCCCTACTGCAGAACTTCAGGGCACACTGCACAGCTGGCTGCCCCCCAGACAGCCACAGCAGAAGAGAACTGTCCTTCCACTTGTACTAGTTGAATTCCAAACACAAACACATTGCTGTGATTAATTGCTTCTTGAAGGAAACAGCTGCTTCGATATCTAAGCAGCAGATAAAGACTATGGGGTAAAAATTTGGAGCTGTGGGTAAAGCTCAGGCAAGCCAGCATCAGGGACAGGATGGCTGAGATGGCAGAAGCAGAGAGCTCTCTGGCTCAGCAGGCAACCAGGAGGGCTGTTGCAGTTTGAAGTCATTAACATCACACGATGGTCCCATATCAAATGAGGGTCATCAGCCCAGTGCCTGTGAATAAGCTTAGTTTAACATGCTTTACTATCTGTTACCTTCCCACACAATCTCCAAAGCACAGAATAGAATGCTGAAGGAGATTTGGCAATCACTGCCTCTCCTTCGAGGCAACACTTCTAAGATGGGTCATGCTGAGGCCCAGTCTTGGGACAGTCTGGCAGCTACTGCTAACGCTGTAGCTCCTCTAGAGATGAAGGGCTTCAGCTTTTAGTGGTGTCAGCTTGCAGTGACTTACAAATCACCATACTTGCTTTTAGCATGCTCCCTCCTCCATACTATAAACCAGCCATGTCCAACCCGCAGTCCCTTTTGGGGCAACTGCTGTAGATGCTGCCCATGTAAATCAAAAGGTTGGACACCCATGCTAGAAACACTCTGGCAATGGTAAGTACACACACTGCAGTAAATATTAAAATGACATTTAATAAAATTTCATTCTCAAATTAAGTTTATCTTAGAATACTTCAATAACAAAATGATAAAAACTTCCAAACATCAAGTTATAAAAATGATTTCAGAAAGTAACTTTAGACTACTGTCAGTACAAGTGCAGCATGCTTTGGACATACAGGCTTTACATTTCAGCTCACCACGAAAATTTGGAAGATGAAAGGGTTATCGTGTCTTTCCAAATAACTTCAAAGCTCCTTGAGAGATTTTGCCTTGTGGAGCAAGTGAACCTGATATGGGGTGAAAAGCAGGAATACATCAAAGGCAAAAGTCTGACTGTAGCGACCAAAAAGGATTTGTAAAATGGAGAAGGG